AAGCCGCAACGAATGAAATCATCGAAAATCGAGCAAAAATTTTCCACCATCAAAGCAAAACGATAAAGAGCAGAAAGGAAATCAAATCAGAGAATCAGAAAGACAAGGAAACCAAACAAATATTCAGTGATAATTAATAAAAAAAAAAAACAAGTACTTGAAGTAAAATCAAGTTGTAAGGCTTTACTAGCTATAGAATACCGATTGAGCACTCAAGAAGCTACAACAAAACTAAGCTAAATCAATAAAAAGAACAAATATTAATACCCTCAAAGAAATATCAATCTATACGAAATAAATAACGTAACATGCAATCGAACAGATACATATGATAGCCACAATCCAATCTAAGTGATCATATAACAAACAATCTATCAGATAATACGTAGAACATCAACAATCTATGAGAAATAAACATACAATCTATGAGAAATAAGCATCCAATCTATAAGAAAAAAAAAAACATCATATAAAACCAATAAAAAAAAATCATAGATATCTATAAGAATATATATTGTGATAAAAGTCAAGTGTAAATCAAAGAAAAGAGTTACAAGATAGTGAAAAAACGCCGCTACTCAGAAACGATAGTAGGTGACGTGACATACAAGTGTTTTATTGTGGACGATATGTGGGGGGGGGGTAAAAGGTGTACTAATAGTAGCAGCACCGCACTAATAAATAAATATTTCATGAAGCTTATTGCATAAATTGCCGTTAACCGGTGTGAACCGTTAACCGTTAGTCGGTTAAGTGTGATAAGGTCGGACGCAAAGGCCTCATAAACACAGATTGTGTGTTAAATAATACATGCATATGCGATAGAGAGAGAGAGAGAGAACGAAAGCACAATCAGAAGGAGACAACAGCAGCACCAGGAGACAGAAGACACACAGCACAAAAACAGAGAGAGACTGACAACAAAAGAGAGTGTGAGAGAGAGAGAGAGGAGAGGAACTGCCGCCGCCTGCCCTGCCATATATTCAACTCAAATCCCGATGTCGTTCACTTATCCAAGACTTCAGCAACAAAAGCAAATACAATAAAGGAGGAGGAGGAAGAGGAGAACAGGAGAAAGAGGCTGCAAGAAAGAGCGGAGCAAGCAGAAGGAAGAGGAAGAGGCAGTGCCAGAGCGGGCGAGAGAGAGAGAGAGAGAGACAAAAGCGAAGGCACCTTGAAGGCGACATCAAAGCCACGCTGATGATGGGCTACATCATGGGTTGTGCTTGTTTCAAAGGTAATGGATAATAATCATACACGAATAAGAGCTTAAGGATGTGAATATATATGTGTACATAGGTGTGAATATGATGTGAATGAGCGCCTGAATATAGTTTCAAATAAGAGGCTACGAATTGGTTGTTCCCAGTGAAAGATGTAAACCTGGAAAGGCTTCGACTTTCCTCCAGAATGGATTATGTTTTGCAGATCTTATACATATTTTTTTTTATTCTTTTGTAACTACTTTAGGGTATAAGAAATTCAGTGTGCAGCATTTCTTGGCGTTACTCTCATCTGTCAGCCATTTGCCTTCCCTCACTGCTTCCCGCTACGCTCCGCTACCGCCACATCCTGCCCCGCCATTCGCATTCGTTGCTTCCTTCCGCTCATTAGGCACCTCTCTCAACGCATTGCGCCTTGGGGCTGATGATGCTGCTGCTCTCCTTTTCCGCTTGCTTCTCGCCCTTCCTTCTTCTGTTCTTTCCTTTATTTCTCTTGCGTATTCCTTTTTTGTGCCGTCTTTCTATACACGAATTTTCGCATTTTTCTATGCAACGTCATTGACGACGTCACGGAGAGAAGAGAAAAGGAATGAATAGCCAGAGAGTGAAATCCTGCGCAAGGAGAGTGCTCTCCTTTACTCTCTCTCTCATTCTCATTCTCTGTTATGGCTTAACATTTTATTATGGCAACTTTTCCTGCTTTTGCCTGCTTGCTGTTGTTACTGCATTTCCCCTCTGCTACTTTTCCTAACTTTTATTTGTTTTTCCTTTGATTTTTGTGGGTTTTTTTTTTGTATGCTGGTTTTCCTTCCGTCTGACTTTTCGCCCCTGCCTTTTGCTCGTTCTCTTTCCGGTGTGTTTTTGTGTGAATTATTCCAATAGATACGTCTTTTTGAGTGCAATGTGATTTCGATGTTGTCTTTTGCACTTTCCTTTGCCTTTGCCTTTGTTGTTGTTGTTGTTGTTGTTGTTGTTGTTGTTGTTGTTGTTGTTCTCTGTGTGGACTTTTGGGGCTCGTTTAAAATGATTCAGTCCTTGAGTCCTGCTTGTTTATCTTTCGACAGCATATGCACGTGGGATTCGTTCGTTCGTTCGTTCGTTCGAGAGATGAGATGAGGTGAGTGAGTGAGAATGGGAGAACTCTTTTCACTTTTAGAAATGATTTGCTTTGTGGTTTTTGTGGGTAAAATTGTAGTTCTGATTGGCGTTGCGGTATTTGAAATATTTAAAAGAGTTCTTGAGAGAGATTTGGGCATTGTTTTAAAGTCAAATTCCCCAGCAATTTGATTTTGTTTCAGTTTTTTTTTTAACATTTTTTTTAAAACATATTCCACAGCTTTGAGATGCTTTTTGTGTGCATTTTTTGTTAAGTTCTTGAAGTATTTTCTGTGTGTGGCATTTTCTTTGGAGATGGAGAATTTCTCTGGTCGTACCAACCGCCCTCTCATTCTCTGTCACGGCATTCCCTATGGCTGCAGCTTCACGTGCTGCCTCCTGGCCACCGCCTGCTCTTCGAAGCTCTTCTGTGGGTTCGGATTCCATAAGCCACAAAGCACTTAACCCTTGCTTCGTTCTAACCCACCTCCCCTATTCCTCTCTTTCTCTCTCTATTTCTCCCTTTCTCTTCTTGTGTCTCGCTGCATGTGCCTCTGCCTCTTGAACTCGTGGCACGCACATTGCAAGTCTAACCTTTCACATTTATGCACTTTCCTCTGGTTACAACCACACCCCGACACTGCTCTACTGCTCGACCTTTCTTCAGCTTCTTCTCTCGGTTTTTCCGTCTCTGTTTCTCCCGCTTTCTCTCTGCATTTCTCTCTTTATCTCTAGATAGTTAGTTTTATTCAATTTTAGCGCTTTTTTTACTGATGCAATTTTCCCAAGCGCGTAGCGGCGACAACGCTGCACGGAAGCCGAGGAAATCGAGACAGAAACCCAACCAGGAAGAGCTGGCTGTATGTATGAGAGTTATTGAGGGGGGAGGTGGAGCGTCGGGTGCAGTGGAGGATGCCTAAGTGCTTCGCCCATTAAAGTATGCAATCATTTTGCGGTTATTTGACCTTTTCTTTTGCTCCTAGAAACAGGGAGTGCTGCTGCACCTCTCACTCTCTCACCCCTCTCTCTCTATCTATCTATCTATCTATCTCTTGCCCCTACCCTGTGTGGCTTTGCCCCCTCGGAACCACTTTGCGCCAATCCTTTCCTACCATCTGCAACCATTTCTTAACAAGACTAACGAGTCTTCAGGAGTCCTTAAACTATAACGACCTTCTGCCTTACCCTACCCTTTCCCCCCCATCTGTTGCCCTCCCCTTCCTACCCCCCTTTACCCACCTTGTGTAATTGGATACGTATTTTTCCCCATCATTTTCCTGCTCAAATCTTTCATCTTTGACATTACCTCAATATATATTCTTTTGCCTTTTTTCATTCATAAACAAATTAGTGGCATTAGCTGGCTGCTGCTGCTGCTGCTCTTCTTCTATGCCACATGCCGCACCACACAATTAAAAGGGGGAAAAAAACATGAAGCCACGCCCACTGCCCCCCCACCCAATCAGTTGCCACCTCCACCCCTTTAGCCTTCTTTAGAAGCTTCGTATAAATAAATAAATAATAAATAAACAAGCGTTTAATTGAACCGGAAATTATTTGTGGGTGTGTGTGTGTGTGTGTGTGTGTGGGAGGTTGATGCGGTTTACTACCCCTCTCCCATTCATGGGGCACTCATGTGTGAGTGTGTGTTCGCGTGGGTGTATTCATGAATTAATGTGTGAATGCATTCAGTGTGTGTGTGGGTTTCTTATTGAATTTTTGTGCTGTTCATTTTTATTTAGTCAAGTTTTACGAGTAGTTTGCTGCTCTCCCCATGTCATGGCTGTCTCTCTGCTCTCTGCTTTGCGTTTGAGCTCTTGAAACTTGTTTGTCCACTGGTCTTTATCAGTGTGCGGGGAAACTGGGGGGGTTTTCTATCAGAGTGGTAGATTATGGCGAGGGAAAAAAGGGTGTTTGGATTGCCAGAGACGAGCGTCGACAAGATTACATGCCAGCTAGTTGGCTGGCTGGCTGGCTGGCTGGCTAGCATGACTCGCATGCTTGCTTCTTGTTTGCTTAACTCTTTATACGAAGAGAAGCAATACACACATTGAGCACATAGTACACGTATATATATACTTATATATTAGTTTGTCTGATTAGTTTATAGTATACCCCATTTGGTAATACAGTGCGAGCCGCATTGCAGGGGAAGAGTGCAGGGCACAGGGCAGGGTACTCGTATTAATCTTAACGTTTATTGCACAATTTCCTTAGATTGTTGTTTGTTGTCGTTTCTGTTGTTGTTAGTTTCCAACGATTCGTGCCACAGCTGCGTTTCTTAGTTGCATTTTATAGTTGCTTTTCGTTTGCTTTTTTTTTGTAGTTTATTCCTAAAGTTTCTGCTGAGTTCTACCGCAATAGTTTTTTTTCCGCATATTTATCGTTTAAAGTTCATTAATTTATTCAATGATTTCTTTCTGCAGAAGCTTCCAAAATATTTTCTTTCTACGCAGTTTTCTCATGTTTCCCTCTGCTAAGTTCCCTTCTTAGTGGCTTTCCTAGGTCCCTTCCAACGTCCCTTTTCCTTAGCAATTCTTCCTTAAAGCCTTTTTCTATTTCCTAGAGCATTCATTCTTCGTCTATTCAATGCCCTGGTAGACCACTTTATTTTGCATATTATATGCCCCATTTCCCCATTAATGTGCAACCTCTCGCGCATTAGCGTGATACTTCCACTGCGATGCACGTGTGTGTGTGTGTGTGTGTGTGGCAATAAATTACCGTTGACATTTGGTTGCATGTAGTGCACGCCCTTCCGCTGTCATTGCCACGCCCACTTGTTGCCACCCCAAAAACTATCTGCCATATAATCATGAGGAGGCAAACACACACATATAAAGACTCAAAATGTGCTAGAGGATCGCTTTAGTACGCTGCAGAATGTCCTCCCGCCTGGTGGTGGCTTTCAATCGAACGGTCGTCGAGTATTTCCGTAAGACGAGCCTCAATGGATTCGGTCTGTTGTATTTCATAAGGCGACGTCGCGTGCAGCGTATATTTTGGTTTTGCTTCATCTGCTGTGTCTTGTTCTTTGCGGGATATGCGGTATTTGCCATGATATTGGAACTACTGGATAACTCGACGATAACAGTGCTTTCCGAGAGAGATTTTGGGCAGCATGGTGGCTTGAAGTTGCCTTCGATTGGGCTCTGCAGTGGCCATCGATTCAGCAAGAGAAAGATGCAGGAATATGCACAGATGTTGGCCAATTCCAGTGACAAATCGTTGGGTTATTGGTGGCAAAAGATACAGTTACTTGAGGGCTACATGGATCCCATGTCTGTGGAGGCAGCAGAGGCAAAAGAACTGCAAGAATCTTTGGGATTTTTGGGCGATATGCGGCTCCATTTGTTGACTCTATTGCCCGCCTGTGCTGCTTTGATACTCAAATGTCAGCAGAATCGTGTAACCATCAATTGTTCAGAGATATTTCAGCTGCAAGCCACACATTATGGACACTGTTGTGTCTTAAGGGACAGGCATATCACGGGTGAACTTTTCCTGTCGCTGGACACCTCCCATGAAGATGAATTTCCAATGGAAAAGAGCAGCAGTTCTCCCGGTTTCCATTTGCATATTTCCAGTTGGTTGGGCCGAATAACCATTGGGCAGGGTGAAAATTCACTCGTGGAAGTGAATGTCATGGAACTTGAGGCTAATGCGCAGCTACGCGAATATCCTGTGAATAGACGTGACTGTTATTTTCGCCATGAGGGTGACAGCCGGGAAAAGTGTCTGCAGGAGTGCAGGATCAAGGCCTCTCTAATGAATTGCCAGTGTGTGCCATATCCCTTTGAGCGAGATGCGAAATTAAAGCAAAAGTATTGCACGCTAGAGGACATTGCCTGTCTGCAAATGGTACAGGGTAAGGAGTTCGTGGTCTAGGCTGCTTTCTGCCCTCTTTTATGTGTATCCTTTTTCCCTAAGCGAATTGGTCACCCAATCAGTGTACGCATTGCCTGCCGCTCTGCAATCAAATGTTGTACAGTCTGCACAAAAGTATCCTCGGCTATATGCATCCCTTTAGGAGCACGCTTGTGCTACGCTTTAGGGCTCCCCGCTGGAGCAATTATGCGCAGGATAAACACTATCATTGGTACCAGATTTTGTGTAAGCAAAATGCCCAATTAAACGCTGTAGTTTTTCTTTTAATTTGCGGCTTTCTTTTGCAGCAAATATTGGCGGTGTTTTGGGCATTTGCATTGGCTGTTCGTTCATCAGTGGCTTTGAGTTGATTTACTTTATGGTCTTTCGCTTTTGGTCAAACTTTCGGCAGCAGCAGCAGCAGCAAATAAACTAATAAAGAAAGAAATAATGATTGAAAGAAATGACTGCATTTTTGTGTAATTTAAGGGATAGTGCGCAGGGGATGTGCGCCGTGTGCCGATCATCAAGGTTAAGTGGTCTACAGAGCCTTCTTTTGCCTCAACGCCTTGGCGGCGGGAGGGTGCGCCCCCTTGATGACAACTGAATAACACAGAAAATTGTCTCTTTTCTGTCCCACACTTTCTCCCTCTATCTCTGTTTCTATGTGTGTGTGTGTCTGTCTCTTGTACCTTTCTTAAGTGCACTTCAGCGTGTGTGCGTTTTTATTACTGTCTTGGTATTGATTTTTTTTTTCTAAGACACAGCGCACAACATTTTTTATTCTTTACTGAAAATCTAATTCTATATTTTTTCTTTTTTTTTTGCAGGTGAGTTTTCTCCTTAAGGAAAATTTGTGGGTTTTTCGTACGTATTTTTAGAGTAAGTAAAAATTTTTTGTTTGTTGTGCCCATAACAGCGGGACTTAACAGCATGTTAAGTGGCAGTAAAAGCTTTGTCGAAGCTTTCTATGGCAAAAAACTTTGCTAAATTAAGCTCTGGCATGGGAAAAAGCTGTCTGGGTAAGCTTTTACTGTACGAATTTTTACAGTTGAAACGTATTAAATGTTTTGTCTTGTATTTTCATGATTTTTAATGGCATTTTTTAACTGCCACACAAATCATTTTCAATCGATTGAAATATAACAAAAGGAAAATATGTGAATGGCTTTACCATAGATTGAGATTTATTTTCTTTGATATTTAATACACATCATGTGCCACATTATACAGAGAAAATTGCAATCTAAGCAGCAGCAGCAGCCTAGGGTAGGGTCCTCCTATTTAATAGACCTCCTGTGGGTTAGCCACTGATTCACGCCCACATTTTCTGTTAAAAGCTGCTTGCCCCTCCCACTTTATCTCTCTCCATGGCGTGTGTGCGAAGGGCGAATGTCTCCATTAATTTTAAAACCGCCAACTTATCTCAGGCCGCGTCATGCTCCTAAGTGATTTTCCTCAAGCTTCAAGCCTCGCTGATTTACCGCCCATGAAAGACGATGGGGGGGATAAGAAGGACATCCACTCCACTCCGTTGCATACCCTATAGATTCCACATAGGCGAGGACATGCCGGACGTCCTTCACCTTCGCGTGGCTCTCACACATCTCCCTCCTGTTCTGCTCTGTGCCGAAAAAAAAACAAAAAAAAAAAAAGAAACGGAGCAGCAGCACAAAAAAATTTATACATAAATATCTCTCTGAAGAAGAACCTTCGGCAGCAGCAGCAGCAGCAGCAGTGGCAGAAATTCCTTTTGAAAGTAGGTATTTCGCATGTGGCTTTGCTTCGCCCTGACATTATTCTATACATTTATTTTTTGCCTCGGCTGATGAGCTGCTGATCAAAGGCATTCCTCACCCGACGCACAGCCATATAAAGGACCCCATTTTGTGGGTGGGGGTGCGGAGGAAAATAGAATTGGTCCCTTGGCTAATGTGTGTCGCCTTACAGTCAATTGGAATAGTTTTGATTTTGTTAAGGTCGATTGGTAACTGGTTTTAAATGGTGCAAAAAGGTGAGAGATCCGATATGACTTTAGGTTTGTGTTTTTTTTCTCTTGGATAATGGAAGGTAGCCTAAAAAATACATAAACATCGATCATCTTTAAGCTTCTTACCCACTGCCTGAAGACCTGCTTCGTTTTCACTGCTTTAACTGCTTCAACACACATTTTCCCATGCTTAAAAATTCGTCAACTCGGCCGTTTCGCTTTTTTTGTTGTCCTCCATTGAATATTGTGGACTACGTTTCCGATTGGATGCCATCCTTGGGGTTACACTCATCACATAAGGAAACATGACCAGCCACCACCCCAAAAAGTGAACCTCAATGCCAAGAGACCTTCCGCCTGTGGATGTTGCTGCTTGTCAGCTCATTTGCATAATTCTAATATGGAACATTTTTGGCCAATTCCCATTCTCCGACCAGTGTGTCCACCCACAGACAGAGCCACAGGACTCACAGACAGAGCCACAGAACACACAGAGCTCTGCTGCAGACACACAGCACCCACCCATCCCAGGGCTCTACACACGTAGTAGTCACATTTTTGTGTGTCCTGGGGGCCAGCAGAAGATTTGCATAAATAAATGTTGTAGTTGTTGCTTCGTGGCTCCTGCTGTTGTGGACTGTCCGTTCCGCCTGTCACCGTAAATTACGGCCATTTGATTTCGGGGCAATTACAACGCATTTTTGTGCAACAATCTCTCGTTTTTTGTGTTCCCCCCCCTCATGCCATGCCCCCACCTTTTTGATTTATATTCGTTTCGTGGACTTTTTTTTGTTTTGGGTGGGGGGGCAATTTCAATTTCAGTTTTGCAACATTCGACATGTCGTTGAGAAAGTTAATTATGAGTAGGATTATCCTTGGACTTGTCTGCAGTGTCCTCTTGTCATCCGGTCCTGTCGTCCTGCTCCTTTTGTTTGACTATTTATTGCCCCAGTATTTTGTGTGTTGCATATCTCTCTTTCTCTCTGCAGGATTTCCGTTGTCGTCTGTCGCCGGAATCCATTGTTGGCCCGTCTGTGAGAGAATGTTTCTGTTTAGCTGTGTGTGTGTGTTTGTGTCTGGTCAGGCGAAGGTTGCAACATTGTGGCACCACCAACCAACCGAGAAGGTAGACAACCTTGGCCATGACAAGGACTTTACTTTTTTTTGTTCTTTGGTTTTTTTTTTTTTTTTTGCTTCTTTTGTGCTTTGCTTTCTTGAGGTTTTCCTTTCTCAGTTCGAGTGTATTTTACAAGATTTTTCCTACTCTGGGTTTTCCTCTAAATTTGCATGCCATTTTCCCTTTTTCCGCTTTTTCCGTTTTTCCGTTTAGCTAACTGAAAATGATTATCATTTGTTTTCGTTAAGCCCCGAAATGTCCAAATAGCCAAAGAGCCGCACAGCCAACAAGTTGTGGCAGCTCATAAAAATGAATTACTTGCGTGCGCTCCCAAGGATTCTTCTCTTTAGTTTATTTTTGTCAGCTTTTGCCTGGCGGGTAGATTCCAAGGGATAACTATGGCTCCTAAGGGGGGTTATGGTAGGTGAATGATATACATTTATTTATGATTTGCGACCATATTAAAGTGACTTTTCAAAAGGAAAATGGCATGGAGCTTGGACCGAAGGAAAAGTACCCAAGCTGAGCTAGAGATATTTTCTTGTAATTTAAAAGTCTAATTTGGTGCACATTTCGAGCTTCTATTTAGGGATAATCTATGACAATCATCTTAGGCATTTTCGGTATGTGGGCGTTCTGTTATTCTGATTAAATCTCATACAACTTTTAATCATTGTAAATTCCACCTGCCCAACCTTGGGATTTTTTTTTTCCTTCATAATAATTTCACATAATTCGTAATCGATTTAAAGATGGAAGCATAAAAAGCCTGCCTTTTCCTCTGACATGCATGGGCTTCCTTCATTCTTTTTGATTTACATGATTTACTTAGCCGCTCGCTAACAGATTTTCCGCTTGTGTCCCCCAAACCATGTTTCTGTCAGAGTTGCTTCGTTGCCACCCACGCAAAAACATATTTTTTTTTTTGCAACCAAACCTCAGGATTCCCATCGAATTTTTCACATCCTTGAACTGAAACTTTGATTTCCATAGGATTTTCTCCTGCCTGTGGCTCTACTTTGTATCGGAATTTCTGCTTTACAGCACCTCTGCGCCACCGTCCAAGAGATTTTTCCTTCACTTCCCCGAATTAGGAGGCCAGTCAATACTCTTCCGTGCGTACCTTTTGACCATTGTATAAGTCCCCGAGTCTTATGCAAATGTACACACTCTCTCTCTTCAGGAGGAAGAGCCTCGAGGCATGCGATTGAGGCATGGACTGTGCCCATTGCGACGGCAAACGGTCCATTCAATCAAACGTTGACATTGCCGCCTCGTGGCAGTCATCCGCATCATCCGTTGACGTTGTCATTGTCATTCAAAAGGGCGGGGGGGGATTAGTACACACAGGGGAAGGGGTATGTAGATGAGGGGACCTTAAAGCGATTTTATTTATGCAACGGCATGTGCTTGGAAGGAGCCCAGGCTTTTTGTTTTGGGCGGGGGGTGATGGCGGCCCTGTTTCTTAACCAAATTTCGAATGCAAATTTTTGCACGTGCCCAGGATTTCTACCCCGGCGTCTTTGTGTGGGCGTGGTGGCAAAGAAAAGCCTTCCTTTGGCTGCATTTAATTATTAAAATTTAATTTGGCCAATTCACTGGCGCTCTGCTCTTTGCTGCTGCCACTGCCACGAAAAAGCAGATTTCTTACACTATTTTCTCTCTCTCTCACTCTCTCACTTGCTGTGTGTGGGTGGCTTATGAGGGCATACGCCCCGTTAGCCCGGCTTAAACTGCTTGAAAATTTTGCTACTCGGGGCTGCCTTTTGTCTTTCGTTTGCGGGGGGCAAACAACCTGTTTGCATCCATGGAAAAATAAACTATCAAAAATTATGGAACTAAAATAGTTTTTCTCACAAAAAAAAGAAGAGAAATGAGAGGAGAAGGAAGGAGCTTTAGGAGGGAAAAATATGGGTGGGAAAAGTTTAGCAGAGAGTGTGTTAACTCATCTGAGGACACCCACAGACAATTGTTATTCCTGTTGCTTGCTGCCCGAACCCTCTCTCTCCCCTTTCTTTCGCTTGTTCTCTGTTTGTTGATACATTTTTGATAACTTGCGTCACTTGCATTTTAAATGGAAAAAAACGTCGCAAGAAGAGAGCGCAAGAGAAAGTCAAGTGCCAAGCTAAGAGCGACACTAACAGAGAGAGAGAGAGCGAGAGTGGAGAGTGTGGAAAGCTTTCGGGGCGAGCTTTTACCAGCACGTGCGACCACTACTGTCGGCAAAAAGCGAATTCAAGTTCAAGTCTCGCACACAAAACATTGAAAATCCAAGTTCAGAGGCGCTTCAAGGCTTGCTTGCACTCTCTCTCTCTCTCTCTCTCCCGTT